TCGATAGAAAGCAGGGACCTAGCTAGATTCTCTCTGTATGGAATGACATCGCTTCCAAAAAACATTGGGTGGAGTGCTAATAAGGACACTGGGCCCATCATTACAATGGAAGGCTAGGACAATATCGACTAGCTGTGGGCTTGAGTTGTTACAAATGGTATTAGAGCCAGACATTCAGCGGTGTGCTAGAGAGTGGACACAAGGTGGAGTATTAACAAGGACACTGGGCCTGACATTACGATGGAAGGCAGGGACCTAGCTAGATTCTCTCCGTACGAAATGACATCGCTACCAAAAACGATCGATTAAATTCTTCGATATATTCCATAAAAGTTGTCGATCGATTGAAAGAATAAAATGAACTGGAATAAGGAAAGAGTCGACATTAATTCGACTAAAGCTTAACTAGAAGCATAAATTTATTGTTCTTGGTGGAGGTTGTTGTGAGGAGATTCTTGACTCTAAAATCGAAATATTATAAGACATTGAACCGTTTTTTTAATTAAAAAAGTTAAAAGTTATGATTCGACAAATGATGTGATATCTACTAAGCAAATAGCGTAGACTCAATTATGCATGTCTCGATAATCAAATAAGAATAAACCTGACGTTACTATACATTCATTGAGAAGTGTATAAAACCTAGTTAGGCATAACTCCGCCCCATCACTCCTCTATATTTTGATTCAATCTCGTCCTTAATTGAACTCGATTTTCTACTCTCACAGTAACCGCTCAAGCCCATCGCTATCAGATATTGTCTTTTTTGAGCTTTCCCTTCTGGGTTTTTTCCTACTCTCACTGTAACTGCTCAAGTCCACCGCTATCAGATATTGTCTTTTTTGGGCTCTCTTATGAGTTTTTTCCTACTCTCACGATAACCGCTCAAGTCCACCGCTATCAGATATTGTCTTTTTTGAGCTTTCCCTTCTGGGTTTTTCCCTACTCTCACGGTAACCGCTCAAGTCCACCGCTATCAGATATTGTCTTTTTTGAGCTTTCCCTTCTGGGTTTCCCCCTACTCTCACTGTAACCGCTCAAGCCCACCGCTATCAGATATTGTCTTTTTTAGGCTTTCCCTTCTGGGTTTCCCCCTACTCTCAAGCCCACCGCTATCAAATATTGTCTTTTTTGGGCTTTCGGTTCCCCTCAAGGTTTCAGAATGCATCTACTACGGAGAGGTTTTCACACCCTTATAAAGAATGACTCGTTCCCCTCTCCAACCGATGTGGGACCTCACAATCCAGGCCCAACATCCTCGCTGACACTCGTTCCCCTCTCTAATTGATGTGGGATCTCACACCCACGAATATTTCTTTCATATCAATGTATCAAACACTATATTCTTTAAATAATAATTGATATCTTATCTACTGAGCTATGCTCAAATTGGATAGTAACCACTAAACCCTATAACCTACCAAAACCACTTATACGTTTCCTACATAACGAGTATCATATTAGACGAAACCGAGCTAAAGGTAATTGAAAGTGTTCATGGCTAGAAAAGGAGAAGACATAATTAATTGTGTTGATTTAGCATCATTGCAAGAGTGGCAAGGGCATGGGATGATGTAGTCCCCCAACCTCCAAGCACACTCCCAATAAATCATATGAATGGCATATAAATTGGTAATCTATCACCACATCACGACCCCTTTCCTTAATCATTGTTCTTTATTTATTCCCTCTTTTCAAGCCTTAAAACTAGGCTACATTACATGAATTTCAAAAAAGATAGAATATTTTTACTCAATTTGCTTGATTATATGTGTTTTTTTCTTCTACTTTTGTAGATGATATTGCTTTTGGCACGCTTCTCGAATAAAAGAGAGAGTAATCGTTCGTGTTTGACTTGTTCTAAGGGTTTCTCCTTAAGATTTTTAAAACGTGTTTGATAGAGAGAGGTTTCCACGCCCTTGTAAAGAATGTTTTGTTCCTACTCTCCAACCGATGTGGGGTCTCGTGATCCATCTCCCTTCGGAGGCCAGCGTTCTTATTGGCACTCGTTCCCCTTTTTAACCAAAGTGGGATCTCACAATCCACCCCTTTTGGGGTCAAGCATCGCTGACACTCGTTCCTCTTTCCAACTGATGTGAGATCTCACAATTCACCCCCTTTTGAAGTCCAATGTTCTTGCTGACACTCGTTTCTCTTTCCAGCTGATGAGGGATCTCACAATTCACCTCCTTCGGGGCTCAGCGTTCTCGCTGACACTCGTTTCCCTCTACCATCGATATGGGATCACACAATCCACCCCCTTTGAGGTTCAGTGTCCTTGCTAGCACTCATTTCTCTTTCCAGCCTATGTGAGATCTCACAATCCACCCCCATTTAGAGCCAACATCCTCACTGGCACTTGTTCCCCTTTCTAACCGATGTGGGATCTCACAATCCACCCTCTCCCCTTCGGGACCCAGCGTCCTCACTAGCACTCTTCCAACCTATGTAGGATCTCACAATCCACCCTTCCCCCTTCGGGGCCCAACGTCCTCGCTGGCACTCTTCCAACCTATGTAAGATCTCACAATCTACCTCCTTTGGGACCCAATATCCTCGCTGACACTCGTTGCCCTCCACAATCAATGTGGGATCTTACAATCCACATCATTCAGGGCCCAGTGTCCTCGCTGACACTCGTTCCTCTCTCTCCAATCGACGGGGACCTCACAATTACAATGTGGCTACCTTATAATATTCGTTAGATAGGGATTCAATAATTCGTATGTTTACTAATAACTATTGGATCCAAATTTGATGTACTTCTTTATACACATTCAAAGGGTGAAAAACTGTTAGCCATATTAACGTGGTTTTACCGAATATTTATCGTTCGAGTCTTAATCTACCACTTTATTCTCAAGGGCAAAAATGTCTATTCACACATATTGAGGAAAAAGAAACATAAAAATTCTCATTTTTTAAAAAATGGAAGGATTACTTTTCAATTCTTTTTAAAAAAATTGGGTCATTTTTGTCAATTACCCAAATAGTTTTTAGAGACATGAGAATTTTGGTAAATTTGGCTTAGTGGAAATCCATTTGCCATCAAATCAAAATTCAAATTTACCCTTTTAACCTCCAATAATAAGTAGACAAATTTCCCTTCTGGTAAAAGAAACCATCATCTTTGCTTTTAACCCGTCTTTTATATACTGTCGAAAATGTCGAGGTCATTAGGTACAAAATCATAATTTTGAATCATGATCCGAATCTTGGGCATGAGTCATTACAAATGGTATAAGAGCGATACCTCTCTCAGTAGGATGTGGTTCGGGGACAAACCAAGGTTAAAGCTGGTGAGCATATGAGACTCGAATAAAAAAATGGTACATCAATGAATCGAAACCACATCTGAATGAGTGTGTTCCTAAGAATACGATGACTAAGAAAGATGAATCATAGGAAGTCCACAATGTTGGGTAATTTTTATGGATGCATGTAAGTGAGGACAAGACATCCTAGAAGAACGCGTGTTTGGTTTGTGGAGATAGTGTTCACTCTTAAGAAACGAGAAGTAGGTAACATAACCATGTCATAAGGGAATGTCGAGATCATCCAATGTCAAATATAGATTCTGAATCGTGGGTCTGGATCGTTAAGAATGCAAATCGGTCCAAGATCGTAATTAATGATGAACGGATTTGGTAAAAATTAGTAGCGAAAAATCGTAGTTAAGGTTCGAAATTATATCAGAGTAGCTGGTAGATACAAGAGTGTACCCTAACTGCAAACAAAGCCATCCGAGACTGTTAGGGAGTCTCCAACTATCGTGTGTCGGTGAACTTATCTTGACAGGTAAACCGTTTTATCCGCTTTCGTAAATTACTTATTTTAATTTTAAAATTTATTATTTTCGTAAGATTCCTAATATTATTTAATAATTAGTGTTTTTTTTTATTTTATAAATCAAATCAATTTCTTTTCCTTTTTCCTTTCCGCTATTCCTATTGCCTACAAGAATAATATATAATAATATTTTAACAATATAAAAAATTATAATAATAAAAAAGAAATTAAAGTACTTTTTGTTTTTCGTATTAAAACTTTACAAATTTAGCTAATTTTTTTTTTAAAAAAAACCAATAAATTTATAAATATTAAATATATTAATGGAGAACCAAACACCCTTTATATGAGTGTGAAAACCTCTCTCTAACAGTAGATGTTTTAAAAACCTTAAGAGAAAGTCCGAAAGGGAAAGTCCAAATAAGACAATATCTACTAGCCGTGGAGTTGGATCATTAGAAATGGTATCAGAGCAAGACATCGGGCAATGTGCCAGCGAGGAGGCTCTTCCTCGAATGGGGTAGACACGAGGTGGTGTGTTAGTAAGGACGCTGAGCCCCAAAGGAGATGAATTTAACGAGACTCTTACATCGATTAGAGAAAGAAACGAGGGCTCAGCGAGAAGACTGTTCCCTGAAGAGGGTAGACACGAGGCGGTGAGTCAATAAGGACACTAGGCTTTGAAGGGGATGAATTTAGCGAGTGTCTCACATTCATTAGAAAAAGGAACGAGTGCCAGCGAGGAGGCTGTGCCCCGAAGGGGGTAGACACGAGGTGGTGTGTTAGTAAGCACGCTGAACCCTGAAGGGGGTGAATTTAGCGAGGATCCCACATTGATTGGAGAAAGGAATGAGTGTCAGGGAGGACGTTGGGCTTTGAAGGAGTGGATTGGTTCGGAAGGAGAACGACACACTCCTTATAAAAGTGTGCAAACCTCTCCCTAGATGCGTTTTAAACACTTATATTTATATTAATAATATTCCTTTTCTCTTAAGAATTGTATAATTAATTCTAGTTTTTTAAATAAAAAATAAATTAAATTAATTAAACATTTTTAATTATACGAGCTTCCTAGAATAATGTCTTGTGGTCAACGCGAAGAGCCTATGGGACACACAAAAAAAATTAGGAACCAAAATTGTATTTTTTTTTTTAAATAATACTTTCTCTCTCCTCTTTCTCTCTCTAATGAATTTGATCGTACCACCAATCTCTCCCCTACAAATACCCTCTCTCCGCCTCCCCCCACAACCTCTCCCACCACCACCGCCACCATGATGCTAAAGTCGCCGGAGCTTCCAGATTTGGTCGATGTTAACCCACCGGTGCTAATCCGGCCGGCAAACCCAACCCCAAAACACTCAATATACCTCTCCAATCTCGACGATCAAAGCTTCCTTAGATTCTCCATTAAATACGTGTTCGTGTTCCAAAAGGGTGTCAGCTTGTGCAAGCTCAAGCGCTCTCTCGCCATTGCTCTTGAAAATTACTACCCTCTCGCCGGACGTTTGAGGGTCAGCGGCGGAGGGCCGTCGTCGGAATTTGATCGGAAGCTTGAAGTAGTGTGTAACGGAGAAGGGGCGGTTTTCACTGAGGGTTTTATGGATTTCACGGCGGAGGAGTTTCTTCAAACCGCAGATACGCCGAACAGGTCTTGGAGGAAATTGCTTTATCGCTTCGAAGCTTCGAGTTTCTTGGATATTCCTCCCCTTATCGTTCAGGTTCGTTAATCAAAACCCGACATTAAAATTGCAATTTAGTCCCTATAATTTTAACAAAATTAGAATTTAATCAAAACCCAGCGTTAAATTGCAATTTAGTCCCTATAATTTCAAGAATAAATCGAAATTATATTATTTAATTAATTGAATTATGCTCATTCTGATTAAATATTATATTTTTTAATCGTTTTGTTCCATTTTCTCTCTCTAAACCCAGTGAGAGAAGAAAAAGAAAGAACTTTATTGTTGAAAGCATACATAACATGTCATTGAGAGAACACTTTCCAAGCAAAGTTTCAGCTGCTCCTTTTCTTTTGTGGTCGGTCGCAGCTTTTGGGTGGTAGAGAAAGGACTCGTTCAATAGTACTGTCTCTTACTTTTTTCACGAAAGAAAAAAAAATTAATTATTTTAACGCGCAAATATATTATAAATTTAGTCTCTTAAATTTTTTAATTTATATTTTATAATTTTCTTAAATTAATTTTAATAATAATGTACCATAAATCCCTAAACTTTTAATTGTGTCTAATATGTTTCATAAACTAGATGTAAAATTTGGATCAATTTAATATTCTTAATATTATATATATATATATAATTAATTCAGCATATTTTTAATTTGGGAGAAATTAGTATTTTTACACTAAATTTAAAATCAAATTCGAGATGTTTTTTATTTTATTTTATTATTATTATTTTTTTGGTAGGTGACAAATTTGAGCTGTGGAGGGATGATACTATGCACCGGAATAAACCACTGCCTCTCGGACGGTGTGGGTACGTCACAATTCCTGCATGCGTGGGCCCACCTCACAACTAAACCCAATCTCCCTCTACCAATCAAACCCTTCCATTTCCGCCACGTGTTCAAACCCCGCAACCCTCTCCACGTCACTTCCCCTCATCCACAATATTCCAAAACTACCCCTTCTAATACCCACAACAACCTCCTCAACCTCCTCCGTTCCCTCCCTCTCCGCCCCGTCTCCGTCTCCTTCTCCGCCGCTCAAATCCTCCGCCTCAAACGCCGTTGCATCCCCTCCCTTAAATGCACCACTTTCGAAGCCCTCGCCGCACACACCTGGCAGTGCTGGCTTCACTCTCTCACCCTCGCCACCGTCGTTCCTCTCCCTCCTCCACTTCCCGTTAACCTTCTCTTCTCCGTCAACGTTCGCCGTCGCCTCCTCCTCCCTGAACCACCCTCCGGTTATTACGGTAACGCCTTCGTACTCGCCTGCGCTCAATCCTCCGTTAAGGAGCTCAACGCCGCTGCCACCTCCGCCAATATCCACCACGGCGTCACGCTAGTTCAACAGGCTAAGGCTGCTGTCACCGATGAGTACGTGCGGTCCGTGGTCGACATGTTGGATGATAGAAGTGTTAGAACCGACATGTCGGCGAGCTTGGTGATTTCGCAATGGTCCAAACTTGGGCTTGAGGATTTGGATTTCGGCGAAGGGAAGGCGGTCCATATGGGGCCTCTTGCCAGTGATATTTATTGCCTATTCTTGCCGGTCGCCGGAGATGTCAACGCCGTTAGAGTTCTGGTGTCGGTGCCGGAATGTGTGGCCCACAAGTTTGAGGTTTATATGAAGGATTGTTGTTATAGTGACGATGAAGATGAAGATGAAGATAGAAATAATAATGATAATGGAGAACAAAATAGTTTCATATGAAAAAAAAATATATATTATATAAATATAATTATTTCTTTCCAATTTTATTTATTACAAATTTTTTTGGACTCAAGTTGGATAGATGATCGAGCAGTTCCATAGGGTTTACAATCTAACTTTAACCCTCTATCTTCCAATTGGGTTGAACTGTTCTATTGTTCTTTTTTTTATTATTTAAAAAAATCATATTGATTCACAACGTATGTTACATTAATAATTAAAATGTCAATACATCACTAACATCAGTTACAAACATTAAATATTCTTAATTTTCGTAATAATCTTAATTTTCATAATAATCTTAAAAGCAGGGTTAGATTATGATTGTATTTTTGGATTGGCTACAGTTGACATCTGTTACAAACGTTAAATATTCTTAATTTCCGTAATAATCTTAATTTTCATAATAATCTTAAAAGCACGGTGTGGTAGGGTTAGATTATAATCCTATTTTTGGATTGGCTACAGTTGACCTGATCCTATTTTTGGATTGGCTACAGTTGACTAGTTTGAAAATATGTCAATTTACAAACCGACCCAAGTTTTCAATTTTTGAATGGATGATCTAAGTTGGTCGAATTCTCGAGTCATTTGAACACCTCTACTAATGATGGCTAAACTGTGTTAAAAGTATGGTTGAACACCTCTACTAATGATGGCTAAACTGTGTTAAAAGTATGGTAAGGTAGGGTTAAATTGTAACCCTATTTTTGGAATTGATGGGTTGACTGAAACTATGTCAATTTCCGACCAACCCAAATCAGAAAAGGTCTAATTCCGAGTCATTTGAACACCTTTACTAATTATGGCTAACACTGTGCTAAAAGTATGGTAAGGTAGGGTTAGATTGTAACCCTATTTTTAGAATTGTCGGGTTGACCCGACTCAATTTATGAACCAACCCAAATCATTAAAAAAAAAAAAAAAAAAAT